TAGAAAATGTTGTAAATAGGCACTGCATCTAAAAGCAAATTAACAAATACATTCACAGACTTCATTCAGTCTGAACCTAGAATTATTTCAACATTGATTATTATAATTATTCTACTTTACCTCATGCTTTTCAATAATCATTTCATCAAAAATGTTGATATATATACTATCTTTTATTTTAGATAAACTTGAGAAGTTACAATCATGTCCTGGTAAGCTGTGAATAAGAAAACATATTCAGATGTTTAATTATTTTATAAAATCATTATTCATAAGGACTATAAAATTACCTGTTATTTTCTTTTATAAAGTGTAAGCTAAGAAAAGCTATGTGTTTTCAAGATGACTGTTATCTTTCATTAGACTCAGTATCAAAAAATCTACAGACAATAAATCCTGGAAAGGATGTAGAGAAAAAGGAACCCTCCTACACTGTTGGTGGGAATGTAAATTGGTACAGCCACTATGGAGAATGGCATGGAGGTTCCTTAAAAATCTAAAAATAGATTTGCCATATGACTCGGCAATCCCACTTATGGGCACATACCCAGGTGTGAGCACACGCTAAGTTTCCTCAGTTATGTCCAACTCTTTGCAACCCTATGGAATGTAACCCACCAGGCTCCTCTGTTCATGAGATTCTCCAGGCAAGAATACTGGAGTGAGTATCAATTCAGTTTAGTTCAGTTGTGTCTGACTCTTTGCGACCCCATGGCCTGCAGCACACCAGGCCTCCCTGTCCGTCACCAACTCCTGGAGCCTACTCAAACTCGTGTCTATTGCGTTGGTGATGCCATCCAACCATCTCTTCCTGTCATCCCCTTCTCCTCCTGCCTTCAATCTTTCCCAGCATCAGGGTCTTTTCCAATGAGTCAGTTCTTCGCATCAGGGGGCCGAAGTATTGGAGCTTAAGCTTCACAATCAGTCCTTCCAATGAATATTCAGGGTTGATTCCCTTTAGGATGGACTGGTTGGCTCTCCTTTCTGTCCAAGGGACTCTCAAGAGTCTTCTCCAACACCACAGTTCAAAAGCATCAATTCTTTGGCATTCAACTTTCTTTATAGTCCAATGCTCACATCCATATCTGACTATTGGAAAAACCATAGCTTTGACTAGACAGACCTTTGTTGGCAAAGGTCTCTGCTTTTTAATATACTGTCTAGGTTGGTCATAACTTTCCTTCCAAGGAGTAAGNCCACTGCTGAGTTTTCCAGATTTGCTAGCATATTGTGTGCAGCACTTTCACAGCATCATCTTTTAGGATCTGAAATAACTCAACTGGAATTTCATTACCTCCACTAGCTTTGTTCATAGTGATGCTTCCTGAGGCCCACTTGACTTCATATTCCAGGATGTCTGTCTCTAGGTGAGTGATCACACCATCATGGTTATCTGAGTCATGAAGATCTTTTTTATATAGTTCTTTGTGTATTGTTTCCACCTCTTCTTAATATCTTCTGCTTCTGTTAGGGCCATACCATTTCTGTCCTTTATTGTGCTCATCTTTGCATGAAAGGTTCTGTTGGTATCTCGAATTTTCTTGAAGAGATCTCTAGTCTTTCCCATTCTATTGTTTTCCTCTATTTCTTTGCATTGATCACTGAGGGAGGTTTTCTTGTCTTTCCTTGCTATTCTCATCAAAACCCATAGAACATACAAGGCTGCCCAGGTAGCATTAGTGGTAAAAAATCTACCTGTACTGCAGGAGATGTGGGAGATGCAGGTTCGACCCCTGGGTCAGGAAGATCCCCTGAAGGAGGGCATGGCAAGTCATTCCAGTATTCTTGCCTGGAGAAATCCCATGGACAGAGGAGCCTGGGGGGGCTATAGTCCACAGGGTCACAAACAGTTGGACATGACTGAAGCAACTGAGTACATACGCATAGAATGTACAACACAAAGAATGAATTCTAATGTAAACTGTGGACTTTGTCTCAAAATATGTCACCACTGGTCCATCTCATAAGAAATGTACCACGCTGACACTTAGGGAAGCTGTGTGTGTGTGTATGTGTGTGTGTGTGTGTGTGTGTGTGTGTGTGTGCGTGTGTTGAAGGGAGAGGATATGTAAGAATTATGCTTTCTGCTCATTTTTACTAGGAACCTAAACTCTCTAAAAATGATAAAGTCTATCAATTTGTTTAGAATGGAAGAAAAGAAACTCAATTTCATTAGAAATCCAGGAATGTAAATTAAATCACAGTAAGAATATCACTTAAGATCCACCATATTAGAAAAATTAATTTTAAAAATTAAATATTATTGAAGATGTGGCACAATAGGAACTTTTATACTGAGAGTGTATATTGGCACAATCACTTTGGTAAAAAAATTGACATTACGTAGTAAAGTTGAAGCAATTCCACTCCTGGATATGAATCCTGGAGCAGAGGGTCTCAAAGTGTCTCCTGACTAGTAGCATCAGTAACACCTGGAACTTGTTAGAAATGAAATTATGGTATCAGGCCTACTCTAGAGTTACTGAATTATAAACTATGGAGTTGGGCCCAGCAATTTGTTTAAAGAAGCCACACAGGTGATTTCAGTGCACAAAACAGCTTGAGAACTACTGTCTTTAAAAGAAACTCTTAGATGTGTGCTCCAGATAACAAGTACAAGAATGTTCAGAGCAAAACTATTCATAATATCAAAACACTAAAACCAGGCAAATGTGCATCAACAGGATAAAAAAGAAATAAATTATGGCATTTTAACACAGTGGAATACTATAATGAAGTGAAAATGAAGGAAGGAATAGTTATGAATATGGATAAATCTCTCAAAATAATGAAAAGTAAAGAAACAGGTTGCAAAAGATAATTCAATTTATATACAGTTGAAAAGCATCCAGAAATAAATAAAACATAGCTAGGGATGAATATCTATGATTTAAAATCATAAAGAGAGGGAAGGATAAACACAAGGCTAACATGGTTTTTATCTCTGGGGAAAGAGGAAGGGGATACAGTTGGGTATTGGCACAGCGGAGCCTTCAAAGTTACTGGCAACACTCCATTTTTAAAGCTAAATGGTAGATACACAAATATTCATTTTCCCTCAGAACTTATATTTACATATATACTATATAGGGGCTTCCCTGCTTACTCAGTGATCAAGAATCCGCCTGCAGTGCAGGAACCACAGGAGACACGGATTCAATTCTTGAGTCAGGAAGAGCCCCTGGAGGAAGGCAGGGCAACCCATTCCAGTATTCTTGCCTAAAGAATCCCACGGACAGAGAGGCCTGGTGGGCTAGAGCTCACAGGGTCACAAAGAGTCAGACATGACTGAGCGACTTAGCACACACACATACATTATCTATGTAAACACACTTCATAATTAAAAAACTTAAAAATTAAGCCTGTATCAATCATTTTCAATAAATGGCTCAAGAAAATAATTCTGTTATTGGTTTATTTTAGAAGTCAAGGAAAGGGGGGACCGGGATGGGGAATACATGTAAATCCATGGCTAATTCATTTCAATGTATGACAAAAACCACTGCAACGTTGTAAAGTAATTAGCCTCCAACTAATAAAAATAAATGAAAAAAAAAATCCATAGGACAAAAATAAATAAATAATCCACGGCGGGGGGAGGGGGGGAGTCAAGGAAAAACGGACTCCAACTTACATAAAATCTACTTTAATTTCTTCATTCCAGCATGGATGAGATCCACTGGCAATGCTGGTTTGGTATACAGTGTGCTGAAAGGAAACCTCCACAAAGGGGTGTACAGTATCCTGAAACACATGATAAACACTGACTAGGTTTTTGTAATACTTTATATAGTTGATAAAAGGTAGAAATTAGTTACTGGCTGATAACTAGATNAGATAAATATGTGACAATCACTACTCTGAAAGGGTAGCTCCTCAGTGCTGAGCTATGGATGGGAACCAGTCTGTGGTAAAGTCTTCACTAATCTTCAGCAAAAAGGGGAAAATAGGGTAGGTAATACTGTGAGCTATATTATTCCTATTTTTCATGTTACAGTATTCTTTCTTTTACAGATTAATTATTGCAGAAACTGAAAGTTGCTCAGTTGTGTCCAACTCTTTGCAACCCCATGGACTATACAGTCCATGGAATTCTCCAGGCCAGAATACTGGAGTGGGTAGCCTTTCCCTTCTCCAGGGAATCTTCTCAACTCAGGAATTGAAGCCAGGTCTCCCCCATTGCAGGTGGATTCTTTACTAGTTGAGCCACAAGGGAAGCCCAATAAGCCCGATTATTGTAGAAAATGGTAGTAATTTTAAAATGTCCTTATTTCACAAAATAGCCTTGAAATGTGCATTTGTTTTGAGAATATCAAGTGTATCATAAATAAAATCATATTTGCAAAACACAGGAAAAACCTTTAAGAGGTTTTAACTGTAGATTAGTAGCTAGTAAGCAAAATGTTTCTCATAGGTAGAATTCATGGGATAAACATAAAATAAGTAAGCAGAGCACACCTGTGTTAAAAGTAGATAGAGATACTCAGTATTCCTTAGGTACCTGGGTGTGAAATATTCACAATATATAAATTATATATGAGATTAAATATATGACACTTGATATTGAGGATATACTAAATATTCAGGATGACTTCATTTGATCATTCTGACCCCACATATCCTCTGCCCAAGAAACATCAATAAAACACATCATTCTGAGTGCCTGCAAAAGAGATGGTAAGATCTGATTTTTATAAGAAGTCACCTAAAATGACAAGTCCAAAATGGAGCCTATTCTCTCCTGTATTCTACTATTCTACTTCCAACACTGTGAGTGGACAGTATAATTGGCAACAGCTGCTTAAGTTTTCAAAATAGGGAATATGGACAGAAGGCATTTATCTAATATAGCACCCAAAAATATACATGTTAAAGATACTTCAGGCATCTCAAGCTTCTGCAAACTTTTACTACATAGCAATGACAGTTAAGTTTGACTATTCAAATGAAGATTTCAACTTTCATTCAGCTTTTGTATGTAGAGCATCAATAAAGTGCAAAGTTTTATTAAAAAGACAGTTTAGAAATTTACATTTAAGATATTTTTTGTAACTCCAAAAATTGGTGCAATTGCCTTACCTATTAACTGTTGTTTTCCTTGTAGGAATATTATAAGCTCTCAGTATTCTGATAAGAATCTTAATATCTCTATCACAGACAGTCTGTGCTGCCACTTTTTTCCTTTCTTTCCTCTGAGGCTTTAACTTTCTTCGTTGTTCAAGAAGCTTACAAACTGCATATGTCAACTGGCTAAAAAGTGGTCAATCAGATTGATATAAAATAACTTAATATTTGAAAGATAACGATTTTTAAAATTTATTATAAATAAGATCATTATTCTGAACCATGTTCTCTTTAGTAGGGGAGACAGAGTTGTCTTAGACCCAAGAAAATAATCTTTTTCTGAGTATAGAAGGGATTCTGTGTTTTAAGAGAGCACCTGATTGCTCCAAGTTCTTTGGGTATATGGTCCAAGAAGAGACAGGACATGGAAAGGTAATCCCATGAAACATAATGTTATTTCAAAAGATTATTCATTTTTTAGGAATCATTCTCTTGATCATTTTCTACATAGTTCTGAGTAGGAGTTAGTTATAAGTGCTGCAACTCCTGGCAACACAAACCTATATGGAGCCTATGTGTGAACACAAAGTTATATGGAATTATAACTTTATGGTCACACCTGTTTTCCTCTAAAGACTGAAAATAAAAACTTCAGACTACCCCACAAAGTTATAGTCATCAAAACAGCATGGCACAAAAAAAAGCATAGTACTGGCACAAAAATAGAAATGCAGATCAATGAAACAGGACAGAAAGCCCAGAAATAAATGCATGTACTTATGGTCAATTGATCTAAGGAGGAAAGACTATATACAATGAAGAAAAGACAGTCTCTTCAATAAATGGTGCTGAGCAAACTGGACAGCTACATGCAAAAAATGATATTAGAACATTCTTTGACATCGCACACAAAAATAAATTCAAAATGGATTAAAGACCTAAATGTAAGACTGTACACTATAAAACTCTTAGAGGAAAACATAGGCAGAACACTCTGACGTAAATTACAGCAACATCTTCTTCAATCCCTCTCTCAGAGTAATGGAAATGGAAAAACAAAAATAAACAAACAAGACCTAATTAAACTCAAAAGTTTTTGCACAGCAGAGGAAACAATGAACTAAATGAAAAAACAGCTCACAGATTGGGAAAAATATTTGCAAGTGATGTGACCAAGGGATTAGTCCCCCAAATTTATAAACAGCTCATGATGCTTAATATCATCCAAGCAAACAACTCCATCAAAAAAGGGGCAGAAGACTTAAACAGGTATTTTCACCAAAGAAGACATATAGGTGGCCAAGAAGCACATGAAAAGATGTTCAACACTGCTAATTATTAGATAAATGCAAATCAAAACTGCAAGAAGATATCACCTCACACCAGTCAAAATGGCTATCATGAAAAAACCCACAAACTATAAACACTGGAGAGGGTAGGAAGAGAAGAGAACCCTCCTACACTGTTGGTGAGAATGTAAATTTGTGAAGCCACTATGGTGAACAGTATGGAGGTTCCTTAAGAAACTAAAAACAGAGCTACCGTATTGTCCTATAACCTCACTCCTGGGCATGTATCCAGAGAAATATATGGTCTGAAAGGGAACATGCACCCCAGTATTCATTGCAGTGTGTTTACAATAGCCAAGACATTGAAGCAGCCTAAATGTCCATATACCGGAGAATGGATTAAGAAGATGTGATACATATATATATATATATGTATATATATATATATTTAGAAATAAGAAATTAAGATTAAGAAATATACATATTAAGATTAAGAAATATATATATTTTTTAATCTATATATGTTTCTTAATACATATATATATAATGGACTATTATTCAGCTATTGAAAAGAATGAAATAAGACCATTTGTAGCAACATGGATAGACTTAAGAGACTGTTATACTGAGGAAAGTAAGTCAGAGAAAGAAATGTTGTGTAATATCATTTATATACAGAATCCAAAAAAAGATACAAATGAACTTATTTACAAAACAGAAACAGACTCATAGACTTAGAGAACAAACTCATGGTTACCAGCGGGGAAGGGGTTGAGGGGAACAAGGGAGTTTGGGATTGACAGGTACACACTGTTATATTTAAAATGGGTAAACAACAAGGACCCAGTACAAGTACAGCAAAGGGAACTCTGCTCAATATTCTGTAACAGCCTAATTAGGAAAAGAATTTGAAAAAGAATAGATTCATGTATGTGTATAACTGAATCACTTTGTTGTACACCTGAAACTAACACAACATTGTTAATCACCTGTACTCCAATATAAAATGAAAAGTTAAAAAATAAGTTTTCATCGTTGACACACACATATCACTGTCAGTTCGGTTCAGTCACTCAGTCATGCCTGACTCTTTGCAGCCCCATGGACTGCAGCATGCCAGGCTTACCTGGTCCATCAGCACACACACCACTATCTAAATATACTAAATATGAAATATGAATATGATAAATAATAAATGATAACATGATAAATAATATAAATAATATATCATAAATATGATCAATAACAAATACGAATGTGAAATACTACTAAAAATGAAATAGATAACTAATAAGGACCTATGTATAGTACAGGGAACTCTACTAAATACTCTGTAATGGCCTATATGGGAAAAGAATCTAAAAAAGAATGGATATATGTATTTGATTAGCAGATTCACTTTGCTATATAGCAGAAACTAGCACAACATTGTAAATCAACTATACCCCAATAAAATTTTTTTCAAAAATAAGCTTTCATTTTAAAACATGTGCTCATAGAGAATTACTTCAAGGTATATTTTAGAATAGAAACCCCTTCCCCCAAATATATCTCAGCATCCTAAGCCAATTAAAACCTTCCTGTTAATACTAAGAACCTGCAAGTGGCCCCAGAGTGGTTTCCCAGATATGTAGCATCCCAATTCCTGTTCCTACCCTTAAGTCTCACAGGTAGGACAGTATGAGAATTGAGTTCCTTCAGCAAAAGGCTCCCCCCGCAGCTGCCTGTGGATCACAGAGTCCTTATATCAGTCTTTGCTGAGGATTCAGTTTTGAAAGGGGGAGATTATAGGCTTAGGGCATGGTGCTACCACCAATGATTTTTCCAGAATCAGTCCCAGGACAGGGAGATCTGAAAGCAAAACTAATTTGGGACAAAGGTGTTTTGCTTTCTTTCTTGCCACAAGGAGAGGGTTAAAAACAAAATTACTATACAACTGAAAATATAAATCATACAGATGTGTCCAAAATGGAATTTTAAAATTATTAAAAATATTTAAATCACTATATTTCATTTTATGCTTGGTAACTGGATTTTGACATTAATATAAAAAGAGAACTTATCTGAGGACTCTGAAGGAACTAGCTTATAGCTTTATATTTCAGACTTAAATAATAATAATTTTAGTATGTACCTTGCAGATACAATTTCTTCATAATCAGCCACAATATCTGATAAGTTAAATTTGCTAACTTTGACAATTCTTCTCATTACCAACCTTCTCATCTACAAAACATATTTTTAAGAAATAAAGAGTTCATATTTTAAGATTAAGTATACACAATGGTACTGGTGTCACTCTTTTGTTCGTCTTACTTTTTATAAGTAAGGAATGGGAAGGGGAATCAGATAAGTGAAAGTATGGTTCTGTTTCCGACCATTATCAAAATCATTCCTAACACTCTCATTATGACCCTCTCATCTCTTTTTCAACTTATCTCAGAGTATTCACATAGACAGAATTAGTCTTCACCAAAGAAGATGATTACCTGTGAATGTGTTTTTATAGCGGTCACTTGTATTCACACAAATCTTGATCCACAAAGAAATGTCATCACATTTCTGTCTGTCCTTTTATTTTTTTAAATTTATTTATTTATTTTACTTTACAACATTGTATTGGTTTTGCCATACATTGACTTGAATCCGCCATGGGTGTACATGTGTTCCCCATCCTGAACCCCCCTCCCACCTCCCTCCCCATCCCATCCCTCTGGGTATAATTTACATGTTTCAATGCCATTCTCCCATATCATCCCACACTCACCCTCTCCCACAGGATGTCCTTTGAGTTCATCCTACTCTGACCTTAAGTTCTCATTCTGTCTGCTTGGTAGATATTCAGTGCTTCAACAGAGCCATTCCCCTAAGCCCGTGCTGCTTGCAGAACCCATAGAAATTGGTTCCTCTAAGGACTCTGAAATTCTTTATAGTCTAAGGAAATTCCTCCCTTTCTACTCTAATCCCATCCTTCACATCAGGTGTAGACTTTTAGAAATGAAACCAGGAAGAAGCGTGTCTCAAGGCAAATTTCTGCTTTCTGTCCTGCCACATATCATCCTGGAGATAATGTAACCTAGAGACTGTGTATACATGCATGTGTGCTAAGTCGCTTCACTGTGTCTGACTCTTTACGACCCTATGGACCGTAGCCCACGAGGCTCCTGTGTCCACGGGATTCTCTAGGCAGGAACACTGGAGTGGGTTGCCATGCTCTCCTCCAGGTGATCTTCCAGACCCAGGGATTGAACCTGCATCTCTTACCTTTCCTGCACTGGCAGAAGGGTTCTTTACCACTAGCACCACCTGGGAAGCCCAACCTAGAAACTAATGATCTGCTTAAATTATATAGGAAAATGAGGTGGTAGGAGAATGGGAAAAACAGAATTCCTAAGAATTACTCTGCTCTGTGTGTGTGTGTGTGTGTGTGTGTGAGAGAGAGAGAGAGAGAGACAGAGAGAGAGTGAGTCTCTTTGTGACCCCATGGGCTGTAGCTCACCAGGCTCCTCTGTCTATGGAATTTCCCAGGCAAGAATACTGGAGTAGTTTGCCATTCCCTTCTCCAGGGGATCTTCCCAACCCAGGGATTGAACCCAAGTCTCCTCCACTGCAGGCAGGTTCTTTCCCGTCTGAGCAACCAGGGAAGCCTGTATGGGCAACAAACTGCTTGCCTTGAAGGTGAACCACATCCCTCTCCCCTCTGACCCCATTATTGTGCTTGAGCCCTCCCTCCGTTTCTTTCTTTCTTTCCCTTCTCCCACCCCTTCTCTCATCCTCTCTCTCTCCTTTGCTCCACTGGCAGCACACAGACTGAGCTCCTTGCTGTTCCTGCCACAGGCTACGCATATTCCTTTCTCAGTTTTCACATATGGTTCCATCAGCCTGCGATGTTCTTCTCCCATGAAAACTCTAACCTTTTGGAGCTCCAAATCTAGCTCCCTCAGCTTTCCGGTCTTTTGTTGGTGTTACCTTCTCAGGGGCTTTCCTTGGTTATCTTATTTAAAATTGTACCCCACATCCCAACACACACACACACACACACACACACACACACACACACATGTGCTCTTTTCCAACTTTACTTGTTAGAGCACATATCACAATCTAATACACTAATATTTTGTTCATTTTCTGACTTCTTCCACTAGAGTGACTAGGAGGTCAAGGATTTTAGTCTCTTTTGTTTACTGCTGTAATTCCAATCTCTAGTATAATTCTTGATTAAGAGCAGATGCTCAGTAAGTATGTATTGAGTAAATTAATGGAAGGGACAGATTGAGGAAAGCTACAGGCCTCTTAGAGGCAAATATTTCAGCAAAACTTTATCTAGCAATCCATGAGACTGCTGGCACTTTACTGCTCCAACCCTGGCCTCAGGAACCACTGACACCAGTAACACAGCAGGGAGTAACCCACATAACTCACAATCAGATTTAAACACTCATATAATTAGAGTCATTATCCTTCAACTTGTAGTGTGAAACTATCTCCAGATAGCAAAGAAGTCTCCACAAGGAGCTGAAACACAATCACAAAATGTTCTTGATGCTCCTTCACAGGATCCTGCATGAAGTTCCAGAATCCTCAGACACTTGCACTTTTACCACCTTCCTGACCCTCTGCTACCCTCCCTCCCAGGCTTCCTTATCCATCAAAAAGAAGAGACGGGATGAGTAGGGTGTATGTTCCCTTTTCTTATAAGAACACCTCTTTATTTCCTAAGACATAAATCTCATTATTAAATCACCTCTCAACCCTTTTTAAAAGGAATATGGAGCTAGTAGGGGTTTCCAGGTGGTGCTAATGGTAAAGAACCTGCCAGCCAATGCAGGAGACCTAAGAGATGTGGGTTCAATCCCTGGGTCAGGAAGATACCCTGGAGGAGGGCAGGGCAACCCATTAGAGTATTCTTGCCTAGAGAGTTCCACGGACAGAGGAGCCTGGTGGGCTACACCCCACAGGGTCACGAAGTCGGACACAACTGAAGTGACTTGGCACACACATGCAGTTAATAAAGAAGGTGTAGGAGGGGCAAGTGTGAGTGGGAAAAAAAACACCTGCCAATGATAAACAGGAAGTACTGAAACAGACTATGATAGCTACAGTGGTCTGCATTTCCACCACGCTCTCAGAGGAACAGAGTACACAGTAGCTCAGCACTTGCAGTTTTATCATTTTACTTCACAAGAAAAGCAAGGCAGGCATTTTTATTGTCTGTTTTCATAAAACAATAAAGCAGGACTCAGTGCATAGATAACTTGCCCAAAGACAAATGGGGTGGTCAGAACAGGTCTGCACATACCTGCCTAGGGCTCATCTAGTCACACAAGGTCACTTCTCTCCAGTCTTTATGAGGTATTTGGCGTGTATCTCTCAGATCTTTCCATGGCTCTCTGCTTTCAAGTTATCTTGAAAGGCTTCTCTGGTGCTCTATAGCAAGGGCTATCAATTCAACTCTTGCAGAAGTCTTGTGGTTTTATTCCTAACCTCATTAACTGCTCAAACATGTCTCAATATTTCCTGAGTGAAGAGCACTGTGCTGGGCATCATGGATCTATAGATATAGTCACTGTGCTCTGGAAGTTTAGGGTGGAAGGATGAGGGGTCAGTGGAAAGAAATCAGGGGTGAATTTGATTGAGGGATTCCACCTCAAACCTGGTTTAGGCTTTGGCAGGGTGTTCTGTAAATATCTGAAGCATGTCTTTCTCTACTATTTTCTGTCTCCTTCCTAGTAGTCCTCCATCCATTGTCCGCTGAACTGCTGTGGTGTGCAGCATTATGAGTTGTTAATAAAACTAGGGAATCCAACAAAATGCTGGTGTACTTCTCAAAGTGAATTTTCAGGGTCAAGAAGAGATGGGTGTAAACAGAAAAAGTTGGAATATGCTCTAATAATGAGTTTGCTGTCAACTGAAGTAACTGGTGCATCAATAATACACGTCAACTGTGTACATTTACAGATGGTCAGTAGGTAACTCTGAAAAAGAAGCCTGAACTGAACAGAAAACCCTTAGTGACCAGAAAGAGGTGAGGAGCAACCAGGTTCTCGTCTGACTCTCTGTGAAGGGTATAGTACTATGCTGTGCATCCAGCAGACTAGTTTTCACAAAAGTAAATTCAAACACACTGACAATATTATTTTGTTGTTACCTTTTGCAGAAAATTGGCAGAATTAATCCTTTGTGCAGTAATAGAATTCACATCTGAAATGGACATATCCTTTTCTATCTGACTTTCACATTCCTGTAAGTAGAGAAATTAAATTAGTTTCACATTTATTTTTTGTTTGTTTGTTTGTTTTTGCCATGCCATGCAGCATGCAGGATCTTAGTTTCCCAACCAAGGATCAAAGCTGTGCCCCCTGCCGAGGAAGTGCAGAATCTTAAACCACTGGACCACTAGGGTAATATCCTAGTTTCACTTCTTGAATGTAACAAAGTTTAGATATGATATGCTGCAATGAAATATTAACTACTCATTTCAGTTTATGTGTAAGAAATATTGGCAACACTCTGGAGTTGGGAGGAGAGAATGTTTCTTTAAGATTCTTCCCTCTGAGAATTATCGAAGAACCATTATATTTTGTTTTCTTCTAGGAGGAGTTTCATTCATCTTTTAAAACAAAGTAATGATTGAGAAAAAAACTGCAATTGAGAAAATGATAAGAAGATGTAAAGACAACTGAGAACTATTCTTCATGTGTCCATTTACCTGGTATCATTAGAAACAAAAGAAATGGGAAGTATTAACATTAGGGTGTAATGTTCAAGTTGGTGGGCTTTGGAGGTCACAGTCCTGGATTCAAGTTGGCCCTGCCATTTACTAACTGTGTGGTTTGGGGAAAAGTTGATTAACTACTGCAGATCTGTTTCCTCTTTTGTAATAATATTACGACTATTAACATATCACAGGATTGCTGTGAGATTTAACTAAAACAATATTTATAACGTGTGTGGCAGGTAGTAAGTAATCAAAATATGTTGACCATAATCAATAACTTTAATTTTACATATAGCAGTTGGTATAATTATATGTCACGATGCCTCATTTATATAATTTAAAATAAATCAGCATCTATTACATCTGCATTTCTGGGATACGTTCCTAAAGCACACAAAAATCATTTTACATTATAGAGAACATTAAAGACAACACAAAAATTATGAAGTATCTTTAAAGTAGGCAAATTATCTGAAAGTAATTTGTTTTTCTAATTATCCACAAGAAACCTTGAAATCAATTCTGTTGACAAGTAAACACTTTTACCTAAGGATATATTATATTATATATATGGATGGGAGAGTTGGACCATAAAGAAAGTTGAGCATTGAAAAATTGATGTTTTTGAACTCTGGTGTTGGAGAAGACTCTTGAGAGTCCCTTGGACTGCAACGAGCTCCAACCAGTCCATCCTAAAGGAGATCAGTCCTGGGTGTTCATTGCAAGGTCTGATGTTGAAGCTGAAACTCCAAAACTTTGGCCACCTGATGCGAAGAGCTGACTCATTAGAAAAGATCCTGATGCTGGGAAAAATTGAAGATAGGAGGAGAAGGGGACAACAGAGGATGAGATGGTTGGATGGCATCACCAACTCAATGGATATGAGTTTGAGCAGGCTCTGGGAGATGGTGAAGGACAGGGAGGCCCAGCGTGCTGCAGTCCATGGGGATGCAGAGTCAAACATGACTGAGTGAATGAACAACATTATGTTATTTCCATTATATTGTTTCCCAGGTGGCTCAGTGGTAAAGAATTCACCTGCCAATGTAGGAGATGCACCCTGGAGAAAGAAACGGCAACCTACTCCAGTATTCTTGCCTGGGAAATCCCATGGACAGAGGAGCCTGGCAAGCTATAGTCCATAGCGTCACAAAAGAGTCAAACATGACTGAGCAACTAAACAAACAACATATTACATTACTATTTCATATCACTTTATTTACTTTAAAAAGTATTAAATTATAAGATTTACTTGAATACTCTGGATGTTAATTTTTATTAATTAATATGTAACTTACAAATATCTTTTCCTAATTTGTGGGGTTTAAATTTTAATATTATCAAGTTAATTATTCCACTTCTTTATAATTTATACTTTTTGTGCTTTGTATAAGAAATACTTTCCTGTCCCAGATTAAGATATCCATTTAAAGTTTTGCATTTCAAAGCAGAAGAAGAGACACAGATGTAGAGAGCAAATGTATGAATACCAAGGAGGGAAGTAGGGCGGGGGAGGAATTGGGAGACTGGGATTGACATATATACGCTATGGATAATATAGATAGATATGGATATATATGCTATAGATAGATGCTATAGATAACTAATGAGACTATGCTGTGTAGCACAGGGAACTCTACTTGACGCTCTGTTGTCACCTGAATGGGAAGGAAACCCCAAAAGAGGGGACATATGTATACATATGGCTGATCCACTTTGATGTACAGCAGAAACTAACACAATACTGTAAAGCAACTCAACTCCAATAAAAATTAATTTAAAAAACAGAGTTTCACATTTCATGGGTAATCTTCATTACACATGGTATTTATTTCTGTTGTGAAGTCTGAATCTAATTTTACATCATTCAAAATATTCTACAATTCTCTCCATTAAGTTTTGTACATGTTTTGTTAAATATATTCCAATGTATTTAAGAGTTTTTATTGTTATTGTAAGGTGTATCTTTGCTAAATTACATTTCTAGTGGGTTTTTATTGGTATATAGAATGCTATTTATTTTTTGCCTCTAATTTTTCCTCAAGTTTTTCAAACATACAGAAAATGAGAAAGACTATTAAAATCTATATACTTACTCTCTAGTAACCTAGAGATTAACATTTTGCCACGTTTGTTTAATCTATTTCTTTTCTTTTTTTGGCTAAAATATCTCAGTGTAAATTATAGCACCATAACACTTTATTCTTAAATAAATACTTCAGCATGAATCTCCAAATACTATGGACATATCCACAGTGCCATAGACAACAAAATTAACAATTTCCCAATTTATCTATGATTCAATTATCAATATACTTAACATTCTAATATCCAAATTTTACCAACTGCTCTGTTTTTCCATCAATCACTGTCTGTATTTTTTAAAATTTTTTCCCATTATACGTTATTACAAGATATGGATAAAGTTCCCTGTGCTATACAGTAGGAACATGTTGTTTATTGAATTTGTATATAGTAGCTTGTATCTCCTAATCTCAAATGCCTAATCTATTCCTCCTCCACTCCCTTCCCCCTTTGGTATTGGTAAATTTGTTTCCTATGTCCATGGGTCTTATTTCTGTTTTTAAAATAAGTTCATCTGTATCTCATTTTCAGATTCCATATGTAAGTGATATCATATGATATTTTTTCTTTGATCTTATTTTACTGAGAACAAGTTTTACATAAGACGGCCAAATGACAGCTTTACACAATTCCAGAAAACTGCTACTGATTACAGCCTGGAAATTCCTAGCAAATCAAGGGATGTATGTGTATGAGCACATAAATGCACAGCTCTCTTTTTTAAGACTTTGAAATGCATTTCCTAAATTGAAGATGGTATCATTTGTCTTTTTCCTTCTGACTTACTACACGATTATCATGTAGTATGATAATCTCTTGGTCTATTTATGTTGCTGCAAATTTCATTATTTTTTATGGCCAAGTGTATATATACACTACCACATCTTCTTTATCCATTAGATGTATACTTAGGTTCTTTCCATGCCTTGCTATTATAACTACTGCTGCTATGAACATTGGGATGCATGTATCTTTTTGAATTAAGAGTTTTCTCTGGATAATGCCCAGAAGTGAGATTGTTGGATCATATGGTAACACTATTTTTAGTTTTTTAAGGAATTTCCACACTGTTCTTCATAGTGACTACACCAATTTACATTCCCATCAACAGTGTAGGAAAGTTCCCTTTTCTCCACAGCCTCTCCAGCATTTTCTATTTGTAGACTTGTTAATGATGGCTATTCTGATGGGAGTGAGGTGATACTTAACAGTAGTTTTGATTTGCATTTCTGTAACATATAACAATATTGAGCACCTGTCTCTTCATGTACTTGTTGGCCACTTGTATGTCGTCTTTGGAGAAATGTCTATTTAAGTCTAAAAATGATGGCTTTTTAAAAAGATCAAAATGTAACAGAAAAACAGTTGCACTTCCTAGCCAGTAGTCCCACATTTCATACTTGTCTGACTGGTTCCTTGTGGTGCTATTTAACTTGTTTCTCTATTCCTCATATTTCTTGTAAAAAAAACAAAGTCTTAATTTGATTCAGGTAATACATTTTTGACAAGGGTATTTCAAACACGTAGTGCTGTGTATCTCATATTGTATCACATTAGGAGCCAATAATATCTGCCTGTCCTTTATCAATGTTTTAGTTTTCTATTGCTGCTGGAACAAATTATCACAGATTTAGTGGCTCCAGACAACACAAATTTATTATCTCAGAGTCTTGTAGGTTAGAAGCCTAGATTGTCTCATTATACAAATGGACTTATTTACAGTGGTGTTAGCTATCTATTCCAGGGTTCACAAGGCTAATACCAAGGTTTAGGCCAGCTGGGTTCTCACCAGTAGACTTTGAGAAGAATCTATTTCTAAGCTCATCTAGATGGTTGGCAGAATCTAATATCTCATGGTAACAGGACTGAGGTCTCGTTTCCTCACTGGCTGTCAGTTCAGGCCCACTCTTAGCGTTTATGGATCTCTCTCCAATCTTCACAAGTGGACCACCAAATCACAGAGCCAGCAACTACATGCTGAGTCCCTCTCATGATTGGAATTCCTCTGATTTCTCTTGCTATTGCAAAAGCGATCTTTCTTTTGCTCTTAGTTGGAAAGTTTTCTCTGCTTGTAAAGGCTCATACAATTAAATTAGGTCCACCCATATAATCAACCATAATCTCCCTATTTTAAGCAAGGTACATTACATTTTCACAGGTTCGGGGCATAAGGGAGTGACATCTTTAGGGAGCCATTATTCTTCCTACTGCACTTAATAAGATTAAGCTGGATCACTAAGTCAAGATGGTGACAACTAGATTTCTCTATTATAGAGGTAAAATTTTCCTTTAAAAAAGTAGCTATTCATTCTTAAAAGTGGATATTATGTTCAGCAAATTTATTACTTGTGCAGGTGGCACTAGCAGTAAAGAACCTGCCTCCCAATGCAGGAGACATAAGAGACATGGGTTCAATCCCTGGGCTGGGAAGATCTCCTGGAGGAGGGCACGGCAACGCACTCCAGTACGCTTGTTTGGAGAATCCCATGGAGAGAGGAGCCTGGAGGACTACAGTCCATAAGGTTGCAAAGAGTCGAACACGACTGAAGCTACTTAGCACAGTCAGCATGCACAGTTAGGTGTAGATTCTGTTTTTCACATAGACAAATGAATTTTCTGCAAACATGGATAGTTTGTCTCTTCTATTCCAATTCTAATTTTCTTTTTTTTTTTCTTCTTTCTGGCTTAATGCATTGGCTCTTGCTGGTAGAGATGACAGCAGGCAGTTTCAAGTTCTTGAGATTAATGGGAAAACTGATGTTTAGCTACTAAGTACAATGTTTGTGTAGGAGTCTATGAGGAAACTGATTTCTGATAGTGATCATTATACCAAACAGTTTCAGAGCCACACAGATAATAGGGCACTGAATCAAATCAAGGGATAGTTTATAAAGAACTGGTTTTCCAGAATGCTGGAAAGCTGGAGACAGAGAATTTGCTCAGGGACACCTAGGCAATGGCTCTATTTCTTCTCTTAAAGGATGATATAGCCTTATTGACCTTGAATTGGGTTCAAGAACTAAAGGAGTCCAACATTTGTAGACATTCCTTAAATGGAAGTGCATTTACCATGAACATATTAATTTTTCTGGGGTGGTAATGTAAACCTTGCCTATTTTGTACAGGTTTTTTGGTTTGGTTTGTTTTTTTTGTTCTTAGCTCTTGCAAAACCCTATTCTATGTTGACATGTTACAAAAAGTTTAATATTCCCAAACCCCCACCATAGTACCAAAGTTCAGGAAAAACCAACCACAAAATTTGCTGCACTGTCCTACCCTGTGTTCTGCCAGACTTCTGTATATTTCTGCATTCCTGACTAATTAAATCTGAAACTCCCTCTAATTATCCAGTGGGTGTGTAGCTGGCCTTTCTTATTTCTTCTCTCATTCCCGCAATTCTACAATTGACCTGAAACACTTTTTTTCAAAGCAGTTTGCGTCAGCAGAAAAATCCAAAATACTGAATATTTTTAATAAGTTTAAAGACGTTCTCTTCTAATTCTAGGATGCTAAAAGCTTTCATCATGAATGAGCACTGAAATTATTAAGTGCCTTTTGGGCATTTATTAAGAGGAGCATATTTTTTCCTTCCTTAATTCTGTTAATGTGGTAAATTATATTAATAGATTCCTTAATTAGATTAGCTGTTACCTAGAAATAAATGCTACTAGATTATGATATGCAATTATATATTTATATATAATATATTGCTTTTTGATTTGTTGAAATTTTATTAGGGGGTAATAGAGGGCTAAAAAATTAAGAGGCACAAACTATTATGTATAAAATAAACTACAAGGATATATTGTACAACAAAGGGAATATAGTCAATATTTTATAATAACTATGAGTGAGTTTTAGTCACTCAGTCATATCCAACTCTTTGCAACCCCATGGACTGTAGCCTGCCAGGCTCCTTTGTCCACAGAATTCTGTCCAGGCAAGAATACTGGTGTGCTCCCAAAACAATCAACTTCACCTTTTTCTCAAGTGCACACAGAACCTTCTCCAGAATAGATCACATCCTGGGCCATAAATCTGGTCTTGGAAAATTCAAAAAAATTGAAATCATTCCAGTCATCTTTTCTGACCACAGTGCAGTAAGATTAGATCTCAATTACAGGAAAAAAATTATTAAAAATTCAAACATATGGAGGCTAAACAACACGCTTCTGAATAACCAACAAATCATAGAAGAAATCAAAAAAGAAATCAAAATATGCATA